GAAACATTGTATCGTGTCTTTACAGCATGTATCATGTATCACACCAGGAGCTTATTCACTCATTCATTAACCATTAATGAAGGCATCTTAAGTCTAATTGCTTGCACTAGGTATTAACTGTTAGACTGTCCCTGAATACGCTCAGGCGCAAATTTGAGTACGGCGAAGCTTTGGAGATTCTGGCGTCAGCACCCAAAGGCTTGATGGACAGCATTGAGGTAATGAAGTTTCAATTTGAAACTGCTTTAGAAATACCGAATTTTGATCTGCCTGTAGGCTTTGCCAGAAGAGAATGACATTTTGTGAGTCTCGATCTCTCAAACTGGGAGGAGCTTTGCGGTGAAGAACTCTTTACTCTGACAAGTAAGGAGCATCATTTGGGGGTGAAGTGGCATCGCATGATCTGAGAATTTTGTCTGATTTCCTCGTGTGACTGAATAAAAACACTCATAAGAAATTGTCATCCCTTCATTAGAAAGTAGTATGCGATGCGTGGGCTATAGCTCTGTGTCGCCTCCTGTCATTGGAGAAAGCGATCTTGTCGTGAAGTGTCTCATATCTATGATACATGGGCAAAAGCGGAAAAAAAAAAAAAAAAGAGAAAAGCTAAAAAACTACTTCGCGCCGCCAAACAATACCAACACCACTTCGTCTAGAATAGTAAATATCAAATGCGTGTTCAACCGCTGGTTGTTTAGCGTAGCAAAGATCCTGCGAGCTGCTCCTTGAGCATTGGCTCGCCCGACGACGTTGCCTGCCACATCGGGGATCAGAGTCGCCAGCACCAGGCTAGCTTCCGTCCGAGTCTTGAGCCGCTCCGATGCCGTGCGGACCTTGTTCTCGCGCAAGACACCTCCAGGCCACATAGTCTCCTTGGCCATGCTGAGATAGCGGAGGAGGGATTCATCCTGAACCAAAGACCGAGCGCCTTCACGGACCTTGCGTTCGATCGTCCCACCCAGCAGTTGATGGAGCACAACCACGACTGCGCGCCCACGCAGCCAGTTGTTGCCTCTATTCAGCTCAAATGCTTCCAGAAACAGATCGCAAATAGGCTTGATGAAAGGCTCCAGCTCGCGGTCTTCAAATGCATTTAATTCGGCTTCGGCTTCGGCTGCCGTGACAGCATCCTCGGTAGCTAGCCCGGAGTTGGGCCCAAGACTGGTTTGATGATTCGTAGCCGCAGAGATGAGATTCTGTCCGGCCGCCGATAGTTGGTCCAGAACACCGAAATTGCCGAGAAAATCATCCATCCCGTCAGCGACCGAGTTGTAGATACGGGTCACTAGATCCTTGGTCTCCCCATCGCGTGGCGTCTCGTCGCGAGGGATGATGGCTCGCTGGGACAGGAAAGCTCGCAAGTCCCGGCTCCGGCACACCTCAGGAAGCAGCAACAAGTTCTGCAGGTAAGCCTCCAATGCCAATCGACGCTTCTGGAGAAACTCTTTCTGAAGTTTCATGACCATGCGACGTCGGGGAAACTCCAAATGACGAACTGATGGGTATCTCATTCGTAGCCTCTGATGCAGCTCGTGAAACTCACTATACCTGCGAGCAACGGCCCAGGATGCAGCTGGCATCTGCTCGCCGGCGTTTCTTTGCACTTCAATCACGTCTGAAGAATTTCAAGTTAGTTATTACAGCAAAATGAAAAACAAAGAAGAACACTGGAAGAATAGACATACACATCGCATACTCTCGGCCGTCTTCCTCTTTGCCCACTACAATGGACTGGATTCGGACGGTCGAGCGGCCATATAGGCTATTGTCGCTTTCCTGAATGATATATTGTTGTCGCTGCATCTCCTTGCGGTGAATCTCACGTTGAATGCTAGCTTTAGACTTTCGCAGAATCCTTAACTCTGCAGTATTGTTTGTAAGATCGGCTTTCCGGGTGAGAGCATCTACCACGGCTTCTTGAGAAGCGAGCTTCTCAATGTCAGCGGTGAGCGCCTCGATTGCCTCGGTCAAACCGAGATCCCCTGGAACGGCCTCTTGGACTTCGTCCGCAGGGTCCTTGTCCTCTGTCTCAGCAGGTTCTTCATATTCATCCTCCAAAAACTTCTGTTGATCCGGAAAGAGTTCATCATCGAAAACACCAATTCGAGATGACTGATCAACGAGCCCAAGCGAAGCGATGCTGGGCTTAGCTTTATTGTCGTCCGTTTGATTCTCCAATCGCCCCAAGTCTACTGAACTGCGTGGAGATTTGAGACCTTGATCGACGCTCAAGGACCCGGCCGATCCTGAATCGACATTTTCCCCATCTCTTAAATTGGCATTTCTTGGGTCATTCGTGATGATGTCATTCAAAGCAGCCTCCATTGACTTGATTGCCTGGTTTTGGGTAGCATCATTGAAGCCACTTTGCGATTCGGTGCCAAGACTGTGTGTAGAAGCTGCGAGAGGATCTGTATCGTAGTCGTCATCGAACAACGGCGCTGACCGCTCGGAATCAATGGAACGCCTCGGCTCCTCCTCGTCGTCAAAGAGCTTGCCCATACTCCGGACGTCACTGGATGAGGCCACAGCCCTCCGCAGATCCTTCGGCTTTTGCCCAGGGTGCGAGGCGGTACGACTCATTAAGGGAGGCAGAGGCCGTCTGGCAGGCGACTCGACTTGTGCAGGCGACGCATGAGATCCGGCAACGGAAGCTGCATCTGATGCGAGGTATTTATAGTACAAGTCGGATTTTTTGAATTTGGGGTAGTACACACTTTGCAGCTCTTCCAGAACCGTGGACTGGGTGCTTAGAATGACCGTCCGCGCTTTACGGTACTGTTCTGGTGTAGCTCGTTTGCCTGCACTCAGAAAAGCCTTGACAGCTCGACGTGATTCTTCGCTGACTTTGAGTTCGGGCTTGGCCAGGTAGGTTTCACTAATGAGAGCCACATCATTCCGATCCGCTGTGGTCCAAGTCGTGGAGCTCGGCGATGTCTCATCACCAAAATCATCTTCAAGTGGGTTGCGGAATCCGTCGACGACGATCCAGAACTGCACAAGTGACATGAGCTTCTGCCGATCCATAAACTCCATGAAGTAGGAGAGACCGGATGCATCATGCATCACATCGACCAAGGACGCCTCGGGGTTACCCGAAGAGCTATTGCGACGAAAATGAGACTCAACCGCTTTCACATAAGACGTACTGCCTCCCCCCGGAGCTGATAGTTTAGCAACCTTTTGGTCCAAAACTCTTTTGCCTGTTTCCAGGCGCCGGAGGTAAACCGGATCCTGACCTTCCACCATAGATTCTCGTTTCAATTGACTTGCGACCAGCGCTCTGAAACGCCTGGCATCGGATAAGTTGTTGCAACGCCGAATGGCTCGAACAAACCGCTCAAAGGCCCTTTCTGAATCGTTCGGTGCGAGTTTGGGAAATGGGTGACCACGTTTGGACTTGGGAGCGGGTGAAGCATGTTCGTCGAGAGCCGCCCGTATCTTCTGAACCGTTTTGCGATCTTGGATAGTTGTTCTTCCATAAGCTTCAACCAATTGATTCCATGTATCTGGGTCCGATAGCACCGATACTAGAGGAAAGAGAACAGCGCAAGCGAATATCTCACGGATCAGGACGGATACAATACGGCTGTTCAAGACGTGCTCAGGAAACAGCCTTGGTAGTAACCCCACTGTGATCTTCCGTAAATACTCCTGCTCCACGAGTTTCTGATCGGACACAGAGAGCGCCGCGGCGGGATGAAGACGTCCATCGCGATACTTTTTCGCGATGGCGAGGTCTAGCTCCTCAGATTCGGTCACATTTCGCGTCAGATTCCGCCCTCGCACAGATCTCTCTGCAACGTCGAATTCCTTCAGATGAGCGGTCAGGATCGGGAAGATACGCGACACAACCAGCGAAATCAAATCTTCTGCAAGCAATCGATTACATAAATTTCCGATAGCGGCTCGAATGACTCTATCCACTTCATTGACGAAAGCCGGACTCGGGCTAATATTCTGATACCAAGATGCGATAAAGTCCCGTGTCACCAGAGACAAGAGCTCATCAATACTTTCCGATACAATGAACGATTGCGGGTAGAGGGAATCTGCGCGGTATGTCGAGCGCGCGCGGATCCCTTTCACTTCTCTGGGCCAGTGTTCCGGGGAGAGAAATGCGACGGGGAGGCTGCCAGGTCTAGGAGATTCTGCGCTATCTAAGGGTCGAATCGTGAGAAACACCACAGCGAGGAACGCGGTACACGAGAGTAGAGCACCCAATACGAGGGCATATCCGAGATATCGCAAAATCGGAAGCCAGCGAACAACCAAGCCCCATGCAATAAAGCCACCAGTGCTGAAAAGAATAATATCGCGACGAGTTAGGGCCATTCTCCCAGGTGGTATGGACTGATAGGCGAGGGTCGTCCCATGACGCTCAGTAAAGGAAGGCAGAACGGAGGAGTGAGAGGAAGGGTAGCATGATCGGATGTAGAGCAGAAACCGGGTCGAAAGGACTACCAAGTTATTAGTACTTGATAAGGTAATAACAGCAACGACAGAACAAACATCAGACGGTGGGAAAGTACCCCCGGGCTGAGAGGTGAACCGATACGGAGTACTAGATAGATAAACGTTGGCGGTGAGGAGCTTCGAGATCCACCGACGTGGGGAGCGAGACCTGAGAGTTGCTTGGAATTGGAGAGGATGAACGCTCACATTTTCGCCAGTTGATTGCTTATTGAGCTGAAGCAAATCTCATTAGTTTGGTTATGGTACCTCTGAATCACTGGACAGATCAAAATGATCTCAAGTCGACTGATTCCGATACTGACCAGATCATGTGACCTGGGAAGCACTAAAACAGACGTCATGTCATGTGTTTACCTCACCTAGTGCGGAGTGCTTGCTTGCCTGAGGTTTCCTTCGACGTAGTGTTGTTCTTTTTCTTCCTCCCCCTCCATATCACCATATTCACTTCGAACTACTTTACCTCATTCTTGACCAATTCTGTCGGTCCTGGTTTAGGATTTTGAGTCTTCTAGTGCTCTTTCATCATGGCCAATCTTGCAGATTATATCGATTTCTCTCAGAAATCCTTCCAAGGTACACTCCTCTGTCGATTTGTGGCCAGTCCGATGCATGTGATTTCCAACTGACCAGCATTGTAGGATGTGCTCTCTTCATCCTGTTCAATCCATTGTTCTGGAAGTAAGTCCAGTGCTAAACTTGCTTCTCTCTATTTTCTTTTTCAGCCTGAGCACTCATGGGCTAACTTGCGCGTCGCTTGTTGTAGCATCGTTGCCCGTGCTGGTTGGTTTAAACCTCCCGTTCCCCTAGGCTCGAATCTAGGAATACTTGCTCATTGTCGCAAAACCGATTCCCTTTTCTCCTTGTAGAGTACCGAAAGCACTACTTGACTCGTATATTCGGTAGCCCCTACTACGGATGCTACTTTCTCGGATTCATCATCTTCACCCTGGGCCTCGCTCGCGACCATGTGTACCAACTGGCCCTCCAGGATCAGCCTTACTACGCCCCAGTGCACCAACCGATTTTAGGCTCCGTCCTGTTCGGCATCGGATCTATCCTCGTTCTGACTAGCATGTATGCCCTTGGGGTCACCGGAACCTACCTTGGAGACTACTTCGGCATCCTCATGGATGCTCCCGTCACCGGCTTCCCCTTCAGTGTTACCGGTTCTCCCATGTACTGGGGCAGCACCCTGAACTTCTTGGGTGTGGCTCTCTACTTTGGCAAGGTCGCCGGTCTCCTGCTCACTGCGGAGGTCTTCATTGTATACTGGTTCGCTCTCCAGTGGGAGGAGTAAGTCACCCGATTGCCTTCCAGGTCCTCTGGCCCTGGGTTGGGTCCTACACTTTCCAATGTCTTCGTGGGAAGTGAAGATGTAATCGAAACTGATCATGGCATTGTAGTCCTTTCACTGCGGAGATCTATGCTAAGCGTGAACGGGAACGTGCAAAGTCCAAGCAGGGCGGCAAGAGCTTGTAAAAATAACATGCCGCCTGCGCGCAGTAAATTCGAAACTGAAGACTCCGCGGGATTAGTGCCTTGGACTTTCAACATCCCACACAATCCTCACGGGTCATGGATACCCTCGTCCTTGCCTTGGCTTTCGACAAGACGATTTGGGTGACGCTTACGAGCTCACGAATTACATCTTTCAGGGTAGGGGGAGAAAGGGGACGGGTTGTGGGAACTATCTTCAACGATCGCTTCCAAAGTGACATCGCGGGCCACTACCGACCTGCGTTTGGCAAAAAAAGTTTACATGGTGGAGGCATATAGTCGGATGGTGATATCAAACAAAGAGAACAGCGGGAGAAGGTCGCTGAGGAAGATTTGTTTCTGCTTCTAGTACATAGCTTTGTCACTTTTCCGACAACGATATATCAGAGATATTGTTTAATGCTGGATTTTCGCTATTTGGAATGCCAGCCAGTCTTTGATTCTTTGCCGACGTAGTCGTTCCTCAAGTCAAAATGCCAAGTAGAAGTCATCCCTGAGAGAATTCAAACAATTAACCTCCCACACAAAGACACCGCCAACTCCATGCTATGTATCTATTCAAAAACTTTAAACTATTGAGTTGCGTGCGATTGAAGCCGTTCAATACGACCTGCTAACCATGTCCCGAACCAGGTCGAAGAGACCAAGAAGAGAATCCAAGTTGTCTAAGCGCGTCGACCTCGTCCTCGTTTGCCTGTTGCTCTGCTCTCCTCGACCGTTTCGATTTCATCTTCGTCCACCCCCTTTTTGAGTTCTTCGCCTTCTGCAAGACCCCATTTTTCAGGATCGTACCAGTCCTCCCCATCACTCAACTCCCCGACGTGCCCTTCCGCTTTACACCACTCAAAGACGTCTTCCTTCATCCGACACGCCCGGAGCAAGCACTCAAGCATATGCTCGAATCCTCGAACGGTCTCTTCTTGCTTCTGAATAAAAGACCAAAGCAGCCGTCGCGTTTCTTCGGCTTCGTTGGCTGGTAATCCGAAGTTGGGATCAGGTCGCACAGACTCAGGCACGAGGAATAGAGGATGTGGCGCTGGAAGTGCGTTGAGTGTGTCGGTGGAAGCGGAAGGGGAGAGGTTGCCCGAATCCTGGTCGGGTTCTGGATTGGCAGCATTCGCTTGCGCTCGCGTAGTCATGCGTCTAGGCGGCTCTGGTGATGAGCCATCCTGCATCTCCGTGTCCTTGTCCGTTTCATCTCCTTGTGGATCGTCTTGATGTTCGGCTTCCGCTCCTTGCTCGTCATTTGCTCGAGCCTTTCCTTTCTCTTCACCGTTAGGACGCTGGTCCGCATTTGCTACAGAGTCATGGTCCTGCTTCCCACCAGTCATGATGTGCCCATTGATTTGTGGTTCCGAATTTGCGGTGTCTCGGTGCGGGGGAAGATCCGTCACAGCTGCATCGACTTCCTCGGACTTGGGTTGCATCGACTGATCGTTCTTCATAACGTTGTCGTCCGTCTCCCTCTCAGCCTCGTTGTTTTGAGCATCCGTCATCTCAACCTCTTTTCCTCCTGCCTGCGCCGCTGGCGACTCCTGGTTCGATTTATCTGCTGCCACTGAATCAACCACTCCATTTGGCGCATGTTCACCCAATGGTGAACCGCGCATCGCATAAGACGTCCAAGGCTCGAATAAAAACCGATCTTCCGCGGTTTCAAACATTCCGCAAGGCATCCAGGACCCATCCCCAAGAAATTGTCGATGAAGATTCCTTGCTCGCCACAACAAAGCGCGCTCCTGTCGAAGTTTCGCTTCAACAGCTTGAGTCATATTCCTAAGCGCCTTCGAGGTGTAAGCGTGCGATAACGAAGGGTGAGTAGGCAGCTCCGACGGATGCTTCAGAGGACATAGGAGATCTAGAGGATTAAGGCGGAGAGATGTCAGTTGTCTAGAACATCGATATCGAACCAGCGATAGAGTGCAAGCACGTACTTTCCAGAGCAATTTCGGAAAACGGATTCTCTTCAGCAGCAGCCGCATCCGCCTCCGAGTCTTCATCATCCTCATCAAGCTCGTCACCCTCCGAATCATACCGCACCGGATTACGTTGAAGGATGTAGCGAGTGTAGCCGGCGTGTTCGATTTTCTAGAGCCCAAATTCCAAATGTCAGCCGTACTGTTCCCGTAGCCCCGCGCGCCATCGTCGACGTTCCAAACACACAAAGTCCGGTAGCTTTGGATAGTTACCTGCTTGTACGATTGCTCTGGATGGATGTATCCTAGAGCGCCCTCACGCACGTATTTCGCATTGGCTCGTAATTTGTTGCCTCTGTTCGTCGGCTGAGTGATCGGTTCATCGGGAACTGAGTCTTTAGCATGAAGATGTCAGAAATAGCCCAGAAAAGTGACCATTGATCACAAGAGTGGGACAAATAAGAAACGCAGGTATACACTCTGTCTCTCTTCGTAAGGCTCTTTTCATGCCAATAATTGTATCGGCGATCAGGGCCGCTTGCGCCGCCATGATTGTAATGTGTTCGATTGAGAGGGGAATGGGCGAACAGAGCAGGAAGCAGACCAGGAAGCAGCGCAAGAAGGGAAAGATGAGCTAGTCGAAACGTCTGGCTACAGAAGCAGTGGATGGCAATGTAGCAAGGAATCGTGATGAGCAGACGAATCTGCACGGCGTCGTCCTCTCTCCCTAGCTGTCTTTTTTGTCTCTTGTCTCTTTGTCTTGACTTGTCTTGTCATTGTCTGTCTGGGGAGCTGCGGGCGCCGGGCGCTTCTACAATCGGCGCCGCTAGTCTGTTTTAGGCCACCCTGTCCTGCGCGTGATAAGGGCTGACCACGTGATTAGCCCTGACTCTGGATGACGTCCATTGTCATCTACTCTTAATGTAAGGGAACAACGGTGGAGAATGCAATAGCTCTGCATGGCATGAGAGAGTGTAGTACCTTACTATCTTTGACTTAGGTGACTAAGGACTAAATTGTCTTGACTCTGCTCGTTCATTGTTGAATTGGCAAAAGCTGTGATAAAATTATCTAGTCGTCAGCGTCAACCCAGATCAAAATTCCCTTCTTATCTGATCGCATGTCTTCAGTTGGCTGTACCCGCAGGGCTTTGTTGAAATACGTATCCACAACATTCAATTGGGGTTGGATCCACAGCCCCCGCTTGGAAGCCAGGAGGTTATATCGCACAGTGTGTCTGCTTAACGGCACAAGCTGGACGACCGCGGTCTTCGGTCCGCTGAAAGCAAAATGCTCACTCGCCTCCATAGCAAGGTTGAAGGTGAGGAAGTGCATCGAAGGATTCTCCAGCGTGTAATCCAAGTGAATCAGACCGGAGGTAGCTTCCGAAGCCAATGCCGAGGCAAGTACGCGGGGCTCTCCCGCGGGCATCACGAAGCGCGGAATGGGTAGAGTAGTCGTGGTGACAGTAGCGCTGTGCGCTGGTGATGCGGCGGCATCGGTGCCACTGCGACGCCATTGAATTTCTAGGGCCAGGTTCAGAGCTGTCGGCCGTCGGTCTCCCAAGACCAACTTTTGAACCTCCAGCGTGAAGCTGGACTCGCGAAGCTCCTCGGGACGTATCTCTAGCGCATGTGGGTTGGCGACTACTTCAGATCCAATGGTGCAGACGGCTCCACCTCCAAGGCTCAGTAGCACTAGCGTAATCTTTTCGATGACAAGCGGCTCCAGGGCAAACGAGACAACCTTGGAATTCAAGCACCATCGTTGCTGCAAGCCTCGAGGTTTAGGCGTGGTTTCATCTTCAAACAAGTCATCATCAATTGTGAAGAAATCCGGCCAGGGTTCGGGATGAAGGCGCGGAAGAAAATCATAGTTTGCCTCAAATGGTCGGATGATTGATAAGGCGAGTTTGTGTGTCGCGATGATCGGGGTCTGATTATCAGATACCAGATTGTATACACAAGTAATTTGGAGTTCGTGGGTCGACGGTTCAAGAGTGTCTGTCAGCACAAGCATCAAATGCTGCCTGGATGACCTGTCCATGACCCCGATGGACCGTTTCGCGAAATGACGCGCGCCCTCAATGGGCGAGCTATCCTGTGAACCATGAGATATGGCCTCACCCTCCTCATCAAGCCACAGAATCTGCGCTGCTGAGTCCGGGTGTCCGAAAAGCCTGATCTCTGCGGACACGTCTGCAGCCTCATCTTCTTCATTGCAGATGCCCACTTCGAGAACAGCCCGCTCGTTTGTGTAGTACGTCGCTCTGATGTTTGGTGTTGTGATTCGAATTTTTGGCGGTTTGGGCATGATCTTGCACCGATAGGTATCCCGGTCTTTGCCCACACGTCTTCGGGCTGCACCGTTCGTGGTCTGCTGCCACCAAAAGGAGTCACGCTGGGTCAGGTCAGTTATAGCGCAGGCTAAATCGAATCTCTCATCTTCAATAAGTAAAGTTATTGATGCCACCCTGGACTCTCCAGCTTCGCGAGGGACAGAGGTCAGATTGAACACTTTGGTCTGCGCCGGTCCTATAGTCAGATCACCCATCCCTACCAGTGCTGTTAGACCATTGTTCGGTGATAGGAGAGTCGTCGAGTCGGCAGATGTGGGCTCACGCAGCGTGAGAGACGATATCGTGCAAGGAGTCGTGATGTCAGCGTCCACGTTCTGGTCGGATTGAAGCTTCAGTGGACGGAGGCAGCCCTCGAAAACAATCTTGACCTCTGACAGTCGTATTGGGTCAGAAGATCTCTGACCGCACGAAGTGATTATCAGCTGGCCCATGAGAGGCTCGCCAACATTTCCTTCCGACTTCTCGAAGACAAATGTGGCTGTGACTGTGGCCAGTTGGATAGTCAGGTATAGAGAAGCAGAAACGAGACAACAATAGGCCAAGAGAACACTTACGGCTCGATATGACATCCTCGGCTCTGAGTGCGACAGATGGCTTGAGTTCTGTGATCGGAAGGTCTCTAAGACTCTGATGGATACTGTAGTGCCAACCTGATCGTGGTTGAAACACTGTGCAGGTTACCCGTGGGTCAGCGACACGAGCCAAACAGGGCGCTGTATCAGAAAATAACACCTCGAAATCAAGAACGTACCCCGGTTCATCAGTTCCCAGTCCACTCGTAGAATCATCTCACTATCCTGCATTTGTAGCGCGCATTCCCTCAGGGCCCAACCGAACTTCTCCATGAGCGGCCACCAGCCAGCCTGACGCCAAGTGAGCGTCGGCCACAGTGGACGAAGGGTCTCATATGCATCGGTCCATGAGCCGACACGCATGTATTCTTCCGCTATCTCTAAGCTGAGGCTCTCCGTCTTCCGAACTTGCTTACGCTTTGCAAATTGCACCAATGCTGCCTTCAGGGCATCCAGAATTTGTTGTGAATGATCGAAGCCGGTTGAGCCTGCCTGCGGGGCTTCAATATGTGGCTCTGGGGCAAGATAGGTGTCATACATATATGACTTATTCGCGATCTGGGAAGCAGGTAATTGCCCAGGTGGTATGCGATCTTCATCTGGAATCTGCTCTGCTAGAGTGCGTCGAGTCATCGCGTGTTTCGCGGACCGGTACATCCAATAACCCTCGTGGTGAAGGAGTTCCCAGGGGCACAAGGCGTCGTTAGAAGGCGTCGTCTTTTCAGGGGGGACGAAGATCAAGTACTGACCCTCGTCTCCCTCTTGGGACGTTACGTTGCCAGAAATGCCAGGGATGTTGGCCTGACGTATGAGCTGTGCCATTGCCATCGACCATCGAGCCTCCCAAGCTTCCCATCCGTAGTTCCTGGTTCCTTTACCTCGCCGATTGATAATATCACGGGAGCGAGTACGGTGGTTGACCCATGATCGTACCGCAGTGCGGGTTTGTCCGGTCCACAATAAGCAACGGATTATGCGGATTGCTAGAGCATCAGACAAGAGACGAGCATCATTAAACCTTGGATTCCAGCCGGCGATATTCTCAAAAACATCCTGCCCAAACAAAGTCTCGTATGCACTCTCATAATTCCTAAGTGCGGCATCGATCTCTTGGCGAAACTCGGCGAAGATACCAAGCTTAAACTCATAGCGAACATTCCATCCCTGAAGTGATAGTGTTCGTGATGTTCCGCTTGTCGGTGGTGCCGTGGGAGGAGGAACTGTGCTTCGGTTACGTTTCCGTCTTGCGTGTTTAGATAGGTCCCGATAATACTCTACCACCAACGGCTGTAGCATGGTCAATAAAGACCTTGTGAACTCATTCAATTCTGCCGAGGTTACATCGTGTGGGAGAAGAAGAACGGATTTCTGGTCCAGATTGGTCGCTCTTCGTATGCTTGCGACTCGCTCGCCCGTCTCCTCCTCGGCATAGCCAACAGTGCTTTCCTCTGACAGGAGGACGACAACGAAGCGAGTCTTGTAACCAGCGTCAGACCATTCTTTTTTCAGTCCGTTGATCTCGATCTTGAGTTGATTGTCGCGGAGGGAGCTCATGTTGGGGTCCAGGCAGAATGGGAAGAAGTTGATGACCGCCGCGGGGACGAGGTTTTGGTGCTTCGTCACCCACAAAGGAGTGAGTAGACCATCAGGAAATGTAGGAGAACTTGGTGTCAAGGGGGATATGGGCGAGTGCAGGACGAAGGACGGCGTTGTATGTAAATCATTTTGTTGTTCGCCTGTTGGGCTTGTTGGAGGAGACAGCGGCGGGGGATTAGCTTTCCGCGGGGGAAGTCTGTAGGACTGCGTTTGTGTCAGCAATCACTCGCTTCGTCGTCAACTGGGAGACTCGGTATCCTCGCGGCCTCTAGAGGAGTCCAGAGCAATTGCAGTAGGCAGTGCTCAATGCAAGTGCTTGTTCGTGTTCGAATGCATTCGGGACGTCTTGGGAGGGACTGATTCATGCGGGGGATGAGAACCTACCCTTCCTACACTCTTGATTTTGTATCCAATCCCTGAAAACCTTATACTTGTAGATTCCCTAGTGTGCCATGACAGTCGTGACGCATCTTCCTCCAAAAGGTTCCTTCGCAATTCCTCCGCGGTCGGTCCACTTAGAGGTGGAAAGTCCGAGTATATTCTCGGTCCCTTTTCATGGAGCAGAGGGTACTCAGGACCGCTCGATCGAGCCTCATCTGGAGGATCGGCTTCTAGTCCGGAGAGAAGGATGAAAGGAAGGTTGTGGACCACATAGTCTTCGGGGTAGGCGTCCATGGCGGACAATGCTCTCGTCGTGGGATGTAGATCACCGCATATCTGAATTCAAATGTCCGCTGAGGCCACCACGACGGATGACCGCTAAGATTGTTTCTTGCCGTTAAGGCAGTGCTACTTGTTTCCTCTGCCGATCGAAAGCACACCTTTCGTTTTCCCCCTATGTTGACATAAGGGTTCTTTGGTGGTGGGATGTAGAACTAAGCATTCGCTTCCTTTGCCAAGCCGCAGGCATGATGTTTTGGTTCAACATCATCAACAGCGCCAAGCCTAGGTATTACTTCCGGGCTATCAGGCCATCGGCGGAGGTCCAAACGATGGAGAGTGCTACAGTCAGTACGGCTACAT